CAAAACAAGAAATGATATCGGTTGCAGACATGAAATGCACTTATGCAACTTCTTCAAAGGCGAATAGACTCAAATTCTGGTTAAGACTAGTTAAGGAAAAGGAAAATAAAGTATCCTAAAAGCAATACTAAAAGGAATAGTAATGTTTAAATTTTTATTAACTTTGGTTTAAAATTGATCAGATCAATTAAATGAAGCTTAAAGCTGGTTTCATAATCTGATCCACTAATCATCACAAATTAGAAAATCGCCCCAATTAAATAGTTGCTCTGGTGCTTCTTACACCAGAATTTAAGGACTAAAAAATTATGGCCTATTAATTTGTACCAAATAGAAATTACCCACTGGCGTAACAACTGTATATAATTATATTTAAATCATGTAAAGCAGAATAACTAATAGAATGTAGTTGATAGTCTTTCCGAGGATAAATTAAGTCAAACATTGAATAAGTGAAGAATATATAAAAAAATGAAAAGAACGACATTTATTGTTTTATTTGTTAAAATAATAATTTCTAAATAACTTCATATAATGAACAGAATGTAAATAATATATATTGGTAAATAAAAAATATGGTTATGTTAAAGCTTAAGTATGAACCGATTTAAAAAATTTGATCATAATTTCATTATTAATTTTTTATTACTTGACATAATATTAGCACAAATGATATTGCCATTTTTATAAAGATAATTTCTTCATGTTTGACTTTTGAAATATAAATTCAAGAGTCTTCTCGGTAAGATTAGTGCGACGTTTAGTACATTCTTGGTATTAAATTTCAAAGTTTAATTTTGATAAGCGCCACGCATGTGTTTTTTTCTTATCAAATTAAACGACGTATAAATTGTACTATGAGTTTGATAAAAATCTGGCATGTCAGTAAAAATGACGAAATTCGCGACAGTAGAGGAAATAGAAATACGCCTTTTAAATAATACGCAAAAGTTGTTTTTTATTAATATAATATTACTTTGTACTATTACGTCTGTAATGCAACAATTTTGTATCATATTCTTGTCCTTGACCATATCAAATAAATTGAACTGCAGAATGTCACAAGGAAATGCATTGCCGTGTGACCAGATATATAACTTATACGCATTTGATAATTTGCCAGGAAAAAAATTCTTTATTCCTGCCATAACTGTCTGGCGCTCAAGGTCTTCATAATTATGATCAGACGAAATCGACGTTATTTGTTTATTTGAAAAATAAATAAGAAATATTGAAAATAAATATTTTGATCAAGTAACTCACAAGTTTAATAGTTTCTTTTTCGAACAGAAATTAAGATCCAAAAGCTGAATTCCATGTCTGAACATCAGACAGTCTGGATCAAATCAATAATTTAGAGATCTAATGTGTTCACTAGTGAAAATACCCCTGTCACGACAGTTCAGCACCAAATTAAAAATATTTTATCATTATTGGAAAAATTCTAATAATAAACATAAATCAAATATAGACGAAAATCTTTTCCAGAAGGGGATTATCACAACAGCTCGAAAGTTCTGATTGCTGTTCAAGAAAAAACAATTATATTAAATAATTCGTGTTATGTCTCTAATTTGGTAATCTCCATTAGTTTTTGTATTTGACCTGATTATTTATTACCATGATAGAATAAAATACCACTAAAGATGCGCCATAAAAAATCGTTAAACCCCAGAGTTCTCCAAACTTCTAAGACTTCAACAGTTGAGCGTTTGCCAATTTTTTTCCCATAATATGATTAGAGAAGACATAAAATAATAAATTCGAATGCAGCCGCATAGCAACCGATGTTTTGCATTTATTCCAACATTGCAATGTGCCAATAACATAACTTGCGCACGCATTTCAGTCCAAGTTATTTGTTGTATCTGCTAGTATTTGTTTATATTATATATTTAAATAAAAAAACCGATAATAATCTGCATGATATTTTATTTGTTTAAAATACTTGCTAACAAAAGAAACAAAAAATACAACCGTGGGGAAGGAACAGATTTGAGGTCATGGAATTAGACTAAAAATTTCAGGGCAATGTTTTGGCCTATCAAGCTTAAATTAATACAAGATCTATGATTAAAATGGAAAATCTATGGGATTACATCTAGTTTTATTTTTCGATTCCTTTTTTTGAATGATTACTAAAATTGTATTTCACGTTTCAAATGGCTGAAAACATTGTAAACCCGTTAAATGTTTGCTTAGTTAAATTAAATTAAAATTACAACTCATCTCCAGAGAAACATTAGTAAAGTATACTTAAGTAAGTGTTCGACAAAACACATTTCGATAATTAGGTTTTTATTTGTTACCGCTAAATTGAATTCATAAATATTATCACAACTTGTTATTCAGTAAAACTTGTGCAATAATTTGAATAATTATCTAGTATAGAGTCAAATATTTACGTAAACAATGCAATAGAGACAAAAATGGATGTTGACTCGTTTTCGCAATGAAGACAAAAATCAATATTAAATCATTTTCGCAATAACGCCAAAAAAAATATTTCTGAGATGATAAAAAGTATTTTTCATACATCGTGTCAATAACGGACAAATTTATCTGTCCAAAATTATTACTAATCTGTGTTATAATCGGTCAATTTGATAATTTGGTACAATATTCTGTATCATCAAAAAATTTGTATAGCAACCGTTTCTACTAGGATAAATTGAAATTCATCGGTTATCGTTTAGAAATATAAAATAAAATACATAACAAAACTGGGTTATTTATGCCAATAAAGAAATTCAGTTTAAAAATTTACATACGCGTATTTTATTCCGGATATATTTACAATACAACAAAGTACGTTTCAGATTCAGGTCAATTTAAAATTAAATCACAATCTATCACATTTGAATCGTTTTTATTATACTGTTTGGAGTCTTTCCAACAAATCTAATGACATAACGATTATAAAATTGGCAAGTGCGAAAGTGGCTTTAGGAGAAATATTGGAATTTTGTCATTTTTAACGAGCGCCAAATTCATCGACAAGAGGCTATGAAATTCTGAAGTAACAGAGAGACGAGGGAACGCTAAACTCTCTCTTCAAACAGAAAAACTAATACATGGGCGAGGTGGTCGTCAAACTGTGGAGATCAATAGAAAAAATACACAAACGGAAAAAATCATATTATATATATATATATATATATATATATATACAATTAGTAGATGATTTCTTATTAATACATGATCACGAACTACCACAAATATTATATAGAATTGTTTTGTACCCCAAGAAATTACATTTCAAACCAAATATTTCGAAAAGACTCTTTGCCGAAGCTTGCTTCATTGTTCATTTTTCAAATATAGTTAAAAACTAAATGAGAACTCAACATGAATTTTTTGTTTTATATTTTAACAGCAATCAGAACCTTAGACGGACTCAGAAGTTGTTGGGCTGAAACTTCTACTTCAAATATGGATGAAGCATTGAGTTACCATTTAAAAATACGATGATTTTATTATTAGAATTAATCTCGCCTGTAGGTAAGCGGTTAAGAGCGATGGGACCTGAATCAGAGGTCCCGGGTTCGATACCCACTTTAAGCAACTTGTTGTTAGGCAGCAGTGACAACGATTTTCACTTGGAAATATAGATAGCAATATGTTTCCAAGTGAAAATAGCCTTTGCCCGGCATTGCTGCACCAATAAGAAGTCAGCCCTATTAGATTAATTCTAATAACAAAAACCATCAAATGTGGATGGATTAACCATTGGGTTACCATCTAAAAAAATACGAAGGAAGGAAAAGTTTCAGCCCAACAGCCATAGGACGTAAGATTCTGATTGCTGTTAAAAATGTAAAAAAAAAAGAATTAATCTAATATGATTGACTATTTATTGGTGCAGCAATGACAGACAAGGGCTGTTTTCAGATATTTCCAAGTGAAAACCGTTGTTACTACTGATATAACGAGAATTAGGCAATAATTTTGTAATATTTTTGTAAATGTTTTATCTCGATATAGGCCTATAAGTATGGATTCCATAAACAAATTAAATTTTACTCTTCAGTCAAAAAATCGAAATGAAAATAATTTACTTAAAAAAATAACTACCCGAGCCGATTTCTTTATAAAAAAACTAAAAGCATTCGAGTTTCATCATATTTTTATTAAGTTAATCTTAGCAATAATCGTGCTTTTGACAAAATCGTTAACATTACTATAAAAGAATCAAGTTTAGGTTCACAAAGGTTAACATTTACAATGCACCATTATTTCCGAATATTTCAATGTGTATATTTCAATAGCTAAGAATTTATAGAAGTTGTGCATTTTTCGTATGTAGAAAACGATAAAATAGCAATTTAAATTAAAATGGCAATTTGTATGGTTTAGTTTCATTTACCAAGTGATTTCGGATATACGGTACATTGTGTTGTATATTAAAGTTGTTACAGCGAAATCGCAATGAATCACACATATCATTGGAATTCACAGATTAAGAATCCCCGGCGATCGTCAGAAATTCTTACACACACCTCTTCAAAGGTCTACGCGTACGCAACCGTATGATTCACTACATCTGTCGCTAGGCAGAATTCTTAATTTATTCCATGTGCAATCCCGATATACAAATATGGAAAATATAGTCAAACAGTTTATATTTTTCGTCACAATAAAAAGAAGACACGATTCTATATAATAGTGCCAGTGGATTTCCAAATACGCGAAACTTTCAATTTTTAAGTGGAAGCCGCGTCCTTCGGAACGGGTCATTAGTTATTCAACAGAATGCGCTGGGCCAAAGACATGTTAAAGGAAAATTACGCTATATTATCTAACAATGTACAAACAGAATGATTATCAAAGCAAGTGACATTTCCTGTTATATTGAATGAAGAAGTCTAGATGCTTCCATGGCCAGGCATGCGCGTTCGACCCGATCTAGACGCCGGTAACCGCTTTCCACGTTGTAATGTAGGTTATAATTTACTACCAGTAATCAATTAAAAACTAATCAATTACAATTACCAACGTACATTTATCCTGGCCAGAAGCTCATAAAATATATACACAGAGTCCTCCACGATGTCGTAACCAACAGGTAATTGTTCTAGCCCCATTGCTGCAACTTTTTTCATCATACTGCTTTCTTTCATAGGAAAAAACACTACCGTACCAATTATCAAAAATAACAGTTTAAAATATTTAAATATCACAGATCACAATCACGAATTCACTTGTGGTTTTCAATATAAAAATAGTAATTTCCAATCAGGCAGCAGGATTAATTTGGCCCCAGAGCGATGATTTTTGACACAGTTGAACCGATTCTTGACGGATTTTTTAAATGAAATTGTTGCAGAACAAACGAGTAAAAAACGCGTAAGAATCCGAGTGCGCGCAACGCGCACGAGTCAGCTTTCGGCTTATGACTGAGCGGAACGACTGACAGACATGTGCCAGGAGGACGAGGTATGGCTAGCCGCTAGCCGCTTGCTCCACGATGCCATGTGACTCCCCACCTCTTTTCCCTCTTCTTGGAGTTTAAAAACCAAATTTTACTAGATAAGAGTTGTTTAACGGTTTCCCAAACATGCATTTTTTATCAAATTGTAACATATTTAAAGAGGTATTCTAGTGTGAAAATTACAAAAACTGGAGTGTATGGCATCGTGCCTTAAGACAAATTACTGGAACTTCCCGTACCGTAACGAAATGATCACGGAATATTAAATGTTTTCATATAGATTTTTATAAATATTGTAACATTGTCTAATATTTATAAGAATTATATAAACTGAATTGCAAAGTTGAAATTATTTGTTTGAAGTATATTAGATTAGGACTATAGTCAAAATTAAAAATAAAATCTGAATTATTTTCGATATGCAAAAATTTTTTTAAAAAAAAAAAAAGCGCTAACAATTTTTTTTACAAAATCAATTATTTTGTTAAGACAAGCAGAAAATTCTTTAAATCATTTAAATCGGACGCTTAGTTCTCTCAAAAACTGATTTTTTTTACATATTTAGCTCCGTAACTTCGAAATGGCTGGGCCTGCCTTTGCCAAAAACTAATAAACACTTCTCCCAATCATTACTAATTGAATGTTTTTTAGATCATTCAAATCGGATGCTCCGTTCTCTCAAAAACTCGATTTCTATTTTCTGCACTCTTTGCTCTTTATCTCCGTAACTGCTGGACCTGCCTTTGCCAAAAACTTATCAGCACATCTCCTCATCAATAGTAATCCAATGTTTTTTGAACCATTTAAATCGGTTGATCCATACGCCCGAAAACGTGAGTGGAAATTTGTATCCATACATACACACACACACACATCCATTTTGTCTGAGGTATGCCAAAATGTTCAGAAACCTTCAAAACGTCGAGAAATGTAAAAATTTTCAATTTCGATTTTTGGCCCATCACAATAACTTACCCTACGGAAGTTAAAAAATCGTATTGTCAAAGATTATCTAACTATTCAAATACGAATATCTGTACGAGAGGATTTTTTTAAATTTCAATTATTTTTGGAAATACGGCTATTTGACTATAATAATCCTCTTCTGTTTCATTCCTTTTCCATAACTTTAAACGCGTTTTTCTCAAAACCGTTCTTTTCAATGTGGTGCTCATGATTTCTCGAGTTCTACTGAACCGATTTACTTAAAACTTTCAGAGAATCTTCTTTATAGACTCCTCTCTGGTATATATTAGACCCATCCTCAAATTTCAATGTTTACTGTTTTTTAAAATTCGAATTTTGAGATGTCCCACTTCAACAACTGCTCACTCCTAAATTTGATAACTTTTTTTACTTTATTTTTTTGATAGTTATAAAAAAAAATAGTGAAAAAATAAATTTCAGTGATTAAAAATGACCTAAATGTATCTACACTAGAATATCCGCTTAAAATACTAATGTCCCAAATAAAATAAAGTATAGATAAAATTGTACAAGAACAATTGTGAAATTAAATTTAAATGCGCTGCATTGGCATACAAGAGTTTCAAGGCGTAGGAGTAAAACTAATAATACTAGATTTATCTCCAATGAGTTCAGAATTCTCTCTGCCTTGAATTAGTTCAATTTATTTACAGGAGTTTCAATCTACAATATGGCAGAATTTTCTAGTGCGTAGGTGTGTAAAGCAAATAATAAAACATTTATCTGGAAGGAGTTCCTTTGCAGTGGAGCAAATAATTGCAAATAGACGCGTTGAAGTTCATATGGCTAGGCCGCGCAAAAACTCTCAAGAACATTCTATGAATATAACATTGAAATAAAGCATAGACTGTCGAGCAACTTTCTTTATTCGCTTTGCAAATATCCAACATCTATAACATTGAGAAATAGAAATAGAACATTATATTTGCTTAAAAAAGACAACGAAAGCATTTTTTATTTGAAATTTCAAATTTATCATTATAAACTTAACAATATAAATAATGAATTCCAATAGAAAACACCGCAATTTAACTGGATGTTCAAATTCACATTGGAAACGGTTCATCCTTACCAAGCCTAAGCAAATTGATCTCAAACTCTTATATTTAATTTGGCTCATTGATTGTAAAAATTATCTATTGATAATAGGCTTTTGATAAGACCATAAATAAAAGTTTCAATTTAAAACTATATATATTTATGGAAGCTAACGTAAGAATGTTGTAAACCAAATGTGAAACTAATCCAACGCCTACAATCCAATGATTTAAAGACAATTACTATTGGTCCATGATAACAAAATCTTACACGATGCCTTCAACATCCCTTTTGTAATAGACGTGATCAAGAATAGCAATTTTAATCCATTACAAAAATTCACTGCCATCCTAATCCAAGAAGTTGCTCATTTACATGATATTCCGTCCAACAAGAAACTGTCAATAGATTTATTGTAATAAAAATGAATTCCATGGTCAATACCTGATGAGAGTTATCTCTAATATTTTTTGTTTATGCAATTGTTTGTGCAATTTTGAATGTGAAAAATCTATAAATATATTACAAAGATTACTAAATCATGTAGCTAAATTCATAATTTATCTACAGAAACTAGACGACCAACTCATCCTTTTCATTATTCATAAAAAATGTTATTCGATACGTTCAATGTGGATAAGCATGACTTGTTCTATAAGAGAAATCGATTCTAACCAACATTATAATTGAACATGTACTAGAATTAAATTCATTATAAAGTAATTATCAGAAATAACAATTACAAGTTTAACTTTCTGAATTTCCAAACATAATTGAGTTGTTATTAAAAGTATTCTATAATATTTCCCAAAACAATTTTATCTGACAAATATCAGTAATCCCAACGTATTCTAAATGGTAAATAATAAAGATATGAATGTGTATAATTTTCTAATAAAACTATACTATATATAATTTACTATGAAATATTTCATTAAAATGCTGAGAATGATTTTTGTTCGCATGGCAGATTCCAAGAGAATGGTATATAAAAGGTGAAAGTGATTTTGTACGAATGTCGACGCGTTCACCTTGCCAATAGTCATATAAATGATTTTTAAAAACCATCTTAATGTAACAACTTACGTAGTTGAATTAATAAGTCATTTAATCAAAAATCTAGAAAAAGGAGCGATTTTTCAAGTAGTTTCTATTTATATCACATATATTATATATATATATATATATATATATATATATGTATATATATAATTGAACAACATATCAATTATTTAATCTCCATAATATTAAACAACAAATTTTAACAATGTTGTGCTGAGTTTGTTTAATTTATAATAAGTATTGGCGGTATCGCAAAACACGCTGCAATTACCTATAATAAATCACTTGCAAATGTTTTATCAACAAATAATTGATACAAACAAATCATTTGCATTGATTTACGAGTGCTCCATATATAAAATGTATAAAAGTCACGATGACATATCGATAATGTTGTTATGTAAGTCAAGTTCGAGGCGACATAGTAATAAACGCAAAACACATAGTATCAGATGCAATCATTTAATTAGATTGATTGATTAATTAAATGTTGCTAGTTTATTTAGGAAAATAAAAAAAATCTTCCGAGGGATTTTTCATAATTATTTTACCTAACTATTCCGTTGGGTGTTGTCCCCGCCTCATCTAGGATTCTGTTTAAGAAATGGGATACTTCGATATGATTTTCTAAGTACACATGCTTAAATAACTTAGAGTGTATCATATTATATTTTCATAACATCAGCAAGTAATTTTAGATATAATTTCTATACATTGTCAAGTGGTTAACAGTTATCTGTCACCTATGTATAAATAATGATCTGGTAAATGAATTTGCATCTTCATTAGTAAAACATAGTTTGTGATGTAATCGATTATTTATTGTTACTGCATTTGGCAACGAGCCAAGAAAATAGATATTTGGTTAAGAATCAAAATGTAGAAAAATATGTATGCATGTGTGTGTGTATGTATGTATATCACTTGTCTGAGTATTAAAATCCCGCACTACACACTTCTTGATATCAAGCAGTAGTGATATGCAAAAACTAGCCAGTCTAAAGTATGGAAATAAAGATATTGTATGTAAAGACCAATATGGTGTAGAACATTCAATAGATTAAGAAAAAAAATTATAAAATAAATAAAACAATTTGGTAACAATTGATTTAGTATGAAAATATTGGATAGAATACAATAATTCTTCTTAATATCTGCGCCTATTCCATTATGAAACATCAGCAATATTTTATAGCACTTGGATTGTCTAAATCGAATGCCAATCCAATAATGGACGTCTGGGTATAAAAATACAAAATAAAAATAAAATATGATATAAATAAAAAATAAATCTTTCATATTTTTCTGACAAGCTGTAAATATAATTTTACTTTCTATTCAAACAATTTATAAAAAAGAAGTATATGGTACAGTGCTATTAAAAAATCAATATATAGATTGTCCGTAATCCTAATCCTATAGTATGGTGTATATAGGCAAGAAATATCTTAAGATATATTAAGTTGTGTATATATATATATATATATATATATATATATAAGAAAAATATAAGGGAAAAATTCGCGCACATGCAGGGGTGCATTTATTAGAGTTCAGGCGGCAACAGCGCAATTGCATCAATGGATTCGTCTATTTGAGAATATTGCAGTTAGTAATATTGTATTTATAGTAATTTATTAATATATAATTCAGAGTATATATGTTCAGAAAATAAATTCTTTTGCTCCTCAGTTTGCATTAAGAAAATGATTAAACTATGGTTCAAATGGGCTTGAACAGTTATTTAATAAATGATCACAAGTGTTGTTTGCAGATTTGCCTCGACACGCCTCGTAAAGAGATATTTTCACTTGGTATTATTTAGATACATAGTCTCACTACTACGTGATATCAAGCTAACCGAGGTTCTTATTGAACCAG